TTGAACTCTTGCAAGGCAGGCCACCGAACCGCTGCGCTAAATCCCCGGCCCTATATATTCTTTAAAATAACCTTAAATAAATTTTTTTTCAAGCGTATCTTTTCAGGTTATATTCTTTAAAAAGGCATTTCTAAGCCAAATAATACATATTTTATTTGAGCATATGTCTATATGTCTTAAATTGTTATAGCTGCTGGCAAATTTCAGGGATGGAAATAATTTATACTCCCCAGAATAAAATCCTGTACTTTTGCCTAGACTGCCCATCATAGCTATTTAACATATTTTCATTAATCCACTGGATCAAAAAAATTATACCGCATTTGTACAATAGTTACATTCTTTATCTAGCTAACAGCTCTCCAAGAAAAGGCAATGAAAAAGAGTACGGTGACATTTTTTGTGTGTGTGGTACCGGGTCAAACTCAGGACCTTGTGAGGCAGGTATGGTACCACTGAGCTCAATCCCTGGACCTCTCCAGCTCTTCTCCACCCCCCCTCCCGAGATGTTGTCTCGCTAAATTGTGCAGGCTGGGGTCCTACTTTCAATCCCTGTGCCTTGGCCTTCCAGAGTGTGGGGATGACAGGCCTATGCTACTGTGTCCAGCCAATTCAGACACCTTTGAGCAACCTGAGGCTCCTCATTTCATACAGAGTTTGAAAATAAGTTGTAGACATCGTGACACTTTGCCCCTGGATATGTATACCCTTTTCTCACTTTTTGACGGTGTTACCTTGATGTATTCACTTGAGTTTTCAGAGCCTCATCTTATGTATATGTATGTGTGTGTTTGTTGAGCTGTTAGATAAGTTGCAGACCACTTGATACTTTACCCCTAAATACTATGGCCTAGATCCTAAAATTACACACGTTTTCCTAAACTAACAGTAATTCCTCGATACCATTCAGTGTCCAGTTTAGATTCAAATTCTCTGTGTTCCCCACCACTCCCTCAAAAATGTATAGATGCTTTTCTCAAGCTAGGATCTTATGAGAGTTCATGCATTGCATTTGCTCGTTTTGTCTCTTTTGCCACTTTTAATCTAAAAGAGTGCTGTCTCTCCCATAAATGAGTATACACATACGTGTGTAGCTTTCCATATATGCATATATAAAACATTGCCATTTAGAATAGCTCACATCCTGGTCTGTCTACCTTGTTCTTTCTTTTTCTTTTTTCTTTTTTTTTTTTTTGAGGGGGAGATTATCTTTATTACAAATACAGGCGATAGCAAGTGATAATACAACATTACCTATGGTCAAGTGGACTTCTTCAAACTGAACTCCACATTTAGAAGACAGTCTGCCCATCCAGTTCCAGACATTTAGCCACATTTCCTTTTCTACACCTGCAATTCTGAATATCCTGAAACTATCTATATACATGTACATGTATGCTTTAAATACACCAAGTACATCAATTATTAAATCTAATATATAATATATAAAAGTTTTATAAAGCATATTACTATAACAATGCTGTGTTAGGCTAAAATGATAAATGATTTTTTTTTAACTATACAAGAGTAGTAGGAAGACTATGAAATCTCTCTAAACCAATATTCCTTCTTACCAGAGCGTGGGAGTTTTGCTTTGAAAGAGTGCTTTGCTCTGAAAGAGTTTTTTCTTAATCCTAACAATCCTTACATCCTCCCATTGCTGGTTCTTTGCTATTCCAAGTAACAAAAGTCCAAAGAGGAAACAGTTTGAAAATACAATCTGTTTGCTCAACACATTAAAAGTTGCTATTCTTCATGAGAGTTATTTGCAGCTTTGCTTTTCCCATAAATTACTTAACCAATAACAAAAGACATGATTTTTAAAAATCATGTGCAATCAGTATCAAATGTAATCCAATGAGTACAAATTCAACATATTTCATTCATCTTAATAGTTAAGTATATTTTTATATTTGGAGGAATCTGACTTATTATATACTTTTAAAAAGATATATAGCAATAGGGCCGGGGATTTAGCTCAGCGGTTTGGTGGCCTGCCTTGCAAGTGCAAGAACCCGAGTTCAATGCCCGGTACCAAAAAAAAAAAGATATATAGCAATTATTCAAAAAATAAAAAAGGCATTTTAGTTATAGATAATAAAGACACATATCAGTAAAGTACAAGTAGATTTTTCTATGAACTACACTAACCTTTGTTTGACAATAAAGTAAATATAATCACAAATTAATGAAAAATCCATCTGATTAAATTTCAAACATAAGATATAATAAATAAACTCCACAGTATCAAACTACAAAAACAGATATTTTAAATCTGCTGTGAGCTCCAAGCAAAGTTACAGCCAATATGGCAATCTACCCAGGTTAGAATAAAAATTACCATAGTTGGTCACCAGTCACACAAACTATGTTTATGAGGCATAATGAAATCTGTATGTAACTTCATTTGTTATTTTGACCAACCAGGACCACAGAGTCTAGAAACAGCATCATAAATGCTATACTCTGATGGAAAAATATTTAATGCCAGGGAAATGATATCCCAAATAAGAATCTTGCCCTGATGCAACAAAAATGGAGGAGGGTTACTTGATCAGAAGCTGTATTGTATTTTCATAGTGAGCAAAAAGAGCATTACTGCCTTCTAGTTATAATTCAGTCTTGTGACAGGAAAAAAGTTTTCTTACAAGTTGAAGCTTTCAAATTCTTAATCTAATAGCTCTTACTTAATCTTATGGAGCTTACTGTGTAGAAATAATTGGCTAGATTACAATGTGAAAACAAAAGTCTCATAAAGCCAAGGCTCTTATAAATTACAGAAATAATTATAACATATGTGGACAGTTTTAACATAATATGGTATAACATATGGATTATGTTGCACCAAATAACAAATTTTCAAAATTGCTCTTGAAGTCAAAAGAAAAATATTAAATCTCCCAAGAAAGATATGAAACCACCCCCAAACAGAGGTAATATGTGAGTTGAGCCTTTAAGGGTAGATAGTTAGGAATAAGGCAAGAAAGGACAGGTGTGCCCACCCTGGGAGGAAAGTAAAGAAAATCCTGTCACTGGAAAGAGCCAGCCATGTTTGGCAAGAACCAGCCATGACGTCAGGCTTGCAGAGGCACAACACTGAAAAAGGTGAATGGAAGAAATAACAAGAGAAACAAAACTGGAGAGAAATGGAAGTGGCCATACATCCTACACTCCATTCTCTAATGTAAAAACCCAAATGGAAATCACGTAAAGAATCAAACTTCTTCATTTGCAAAGAATCAATCTTCTCTGACATTCACTTGCTTACTTTCCACAATATGACTGTGCCCTCCTCTGGGACAGGACTCATATACAATTCATTTTTATATCCTCAAATGCCCTGGGCATAAGTGTTAATCAAGCTTCTTTAAATTAGTGAATAATTACATGAATGAATATACTAGCCATGTCATTGAAATTTCCTAGGACTTGGATACTCATCTATACCAGGAATTACCAATCTTTTTTTATAAAGGTCTATATAGCATATGTATCTTAGGTTTGGCATATCAGTGTCTATCACAACTACTCAATTCCACAGTTACAGGGCAAAGCTCTCATAGACAACATATAAATCAATGGACATAGCTGTTTCAATAAAACTTTATTTATTAAAAGTAGGCTATATTGTATTTGTCCTGTGGAGTGTAATTTGCCAATACATCATCTTTACAAACTTAAATTTAGTATAATATTATTTGTGAATAATTACATGAATGAATATACTAGCCATGTCATTGAAATTTCCTAGGACTTGGATACTCATCTATACCAGGAATTACCAATCTTTTTTTATAAAGGTCTATATAGCATATGTATCTTAGGTTTGGCATATCAGTGTCTATCACAACTACTCAATTCCACAGTTACAGGGCAAAGCTCTCATAGACAACATATAAATCAATGGACATAGCTGTTTCAATAAAACTTTATTTATTAAAAGTAGGCTATATTGTATTTGTCCTGTGGAGTGTAATTTGCCAATACATCATCTTTACAAACTTAAATTTAGTATATAATATTATTTAAAAATTTAAATAAGTATTATATTTGAATCATTTCTTTGACAGAATTTTCAGCCAGAATCCCAAGGAAGATAAAAAAGGACAGGTATACACAAGAAAAACTGGAATATACCTCAACAAACCTGGTAAATCTAGATATCTGGATTTCTCAACTCCAGATACCTCTTTAGGGCTTACTTTTTCATTGTTAAAGCTGGTTAACATAGACAATTTTATGCCAGAATTCTATGATCTTAATAATTGCTCTATATTATAGATTTTTAAGTGGAAATCTCATCTAGAAAACATTTATAAATAATTTTGAATCCACAGAACAAAACATAAGTTACCAAAGGAGGGAATATAACATATTCAAATAATAAATTAATACCTGGCACGATTGATTTAATCCCAAAAAAATTCACAATCAAAATCATATTTTATACCTAAAAACAACTAAGGTTTAGATATCATCTTGAATGTAGTTATAAATGCACCTAGAAAATTATTTTAATAGCAAATACAGGTTAAATTATCTAATTAGATGGTGATATCAGAACAGTCAGATCATTAAAAAAACTATTTTACTTAAACAGACGAGGCAGTAAAATTTGATCTTAAATGCCACAATTTGCAATAAAAGAGAAAAAATAGACTAATTTCTGATTTCATATTCATGCTAATGACATAATTAAATCACTGTAAGCCACTGACTTCTCTGACATATTTATATTTTAAAATCTGGTTTTGGGGGTTTTTTAATTTTAAAAATCAAAGACTATGCACCATGTAATAGACATAATGGCAATTTTCCATTTTTATAATTACTCTTCAAATCAAGACTTGAGTTCCAGAATAAAAATTCTTCACTTCATAACTTTCAAAGAATTGGAAACTTGATTAGAACATTATAATTCAGCAGTACCCATATTTACGGTAGCATTATACTACTTTCTGAAATATAAATCAACATTTTCTGGTTCATTACAAACTTACCAAACACCTGGCAAATTCTTTGTTTTCTGAAAGGAATCCATAACCTGGATGTACCTTAGAAATTTAAAAAAAAAAGCTCTTTTACATATTTAAAAACCAAGATAAGACAAGCAGCATATTGGGTGCATTCATGTGGGGTTTTTTCTCAAATGCCCTTGAATAAAGTTACTTCTCTCACATACTGACAGATCTGATTCATATTTCTTGGTGTAGAATGAAATTCCTCCTCTGTCCTGTCTATAATCAGGGGCATATATCTACATATCTGCTTGCCCTGTTGTATTTGTTTACATGATTCAACACAACTCACCCTACTTCTTCTAAGGTTTGGCCAAGTTTGGGGACTCTCACAATGGCTGATACATAAAAGAAAATTTATAGTAACATTTAGCAAAATGGGTGAAAACTTCAGAATTCCTCTGTCTTTAAAATGCCTAGAACTGCTATTTTCCAAATCCAAGTACTAAGCGAACTAATACATTTTATTACTGATGGCATGCTACTACAGCTTACGAGCTGAGATCTCTAACAAGCCAAACTAAAACAGAGATCTGGTTTTACCTGGTGCTGTACTCTTGAATTTTTTTCTAATATCTATTTTTCCTCTCCTCACTCCAAAGCTAGCCATTTACAACTACTTTATGCTACCCTCTCCCACAAGCCACACTGCTACGATCTAAATTCTACCATCCCATTCTAATCTAGTAAATTTTTACCCATCACATGGGTCAAAAACTCCAATATCAGTATTGAACAAATTTCTAGTAAAGCAATTATGCTAAAAGGAAAATCAAAATTCTTAAGGAGCCAATATCGTAATCTAGAAACAGCTACATTATCAGAGATTTTTAAATGCTGAACTGAGCTTTCTGAACATGACAGAGAATAATTTAAATAGCTATATCAGAAAAAAAGTTTCATTCCACCAATTTCATTTTATATAAACATTCAACTAAAAGTTATATTCTGACAAGCTACAGTTAAAAGGTTGAGAGTTTTACTTTCATTAATAAACTGTAAACACCTAATAATAAAGACTCACAAATTCAGATTTATTTAAACGTGTATCTTTATTTAAATGTGTGTCTAAACCATTTCTTTCAAAGAAATGTGAGCACTAATTGAAGCACTCCAGGCTAATTGCCAGTGCTGGTTTCTTCCATTCAGTTTCAGAGATAACTCTGCATAGTTTTTAATATTATATCTAATTACGTCTCTGATATTTTTTAAAACTCTGCTATATCTGATACGAGAAACCAGTTTTTCCTTGGATTCCCCTTTACTCGAACCAAATTAAAATAAATGAAATGATTTACTGATATAAGCTCTGGGCATTTTATTGACATTATTAACTCAAATAATTACTAAATGCATAGTTCTTATTTCTTGAACTACAATGGGTATACATAATTTTTAAATGTTTAAAATGGAATCAAAACAGTCTTTTGGATCCTGCTTATAACAGAGTATTTTTATTGTTGTTTTTAATGTTCTTATTACACTGAAAGGGTTAATACTCAAAACTAATTGGAATTTCTTTTTTCCTAGCAAATTTGGAAATGAACTGAAACTGCTCCCTGGTGTGAAAGCTGAATCCAGCAGCCACCTGCAGGATCAGCGACCAACACTGCCAGATGCTACAAAGCCTTTGATTTCCAGTAGCGAATTCAGCCACATTTAACTCATGTGACATGAACTAACTGCAACAGCATTTTCAATCATTCTTTTTTTTTTTTTTTTTTAACACAAACTCTAGCTTTCTGCTCACTACATATGAAACAGCTGCGTAGATAGATTCATTCAGACTCACAGCTTGGGCCCTGGTTTTCTTAATGGCTTCCATGATGGCATCCATGTTGAGGTAGCTTTTACTGGTGGGAGCTGGGCCAACACAGACGGCCTCATCCGCCATTTTCACGTGAACCTGAAGAGACAAATCCCTGCGTTAACAGATGCTCCTAGCAAAAAGAATTACCATCACCCACAAATATACACAAAATTGCAAATCTAACTGTTTCACATATCACTTGCAGGGTCAGATTTCTTTCTGAATATTCACTAAAAAATAACAATGCAACAAAAAGGCTCAGGAACATATTAACCATGATTTCATTTATTACAAACATAATCCATAATCTAACCAAATATTTTCATAATACCTACTACCTATTTAAGTAGAACCAGAGCAAATAATTTTAGGTTCCTATTCTGTTCATCTGTGCATAAATCTGATATCAAAAATTACCTTGTTACATGTAGTCAGGGCAGCCCAATATTTTAATAACAAGCACTCATGCCCAGTTCTAAGCAAGCTCCCCAGGAAGTTGGGATAATTAGAGGGACTGAATGGAGAAATGCAATGAGTGTCCCCGCACAGCATCAGGTCAGCACCAAGCACAAATTAAAGCCTAGGACTAAAGAGTTCAATATCACAACACATGAACCAGAAAATCTTGAGAACCATTTAAATATTCTCACATTTGATCCTTGTCTGTTTTACATTTATTCCTAAAAGAACTGATATGTGTATTAAGTTCTAAATCTATTCAGAAATCAGGCATGTGTACCCTATTTTTAAGACTACTTCCTCTACAATGCTTTAAATCTGTTTTTGCTAATGAGAGGCTAGATAGGCATTTGATACTGAAAAGAGTAAATTGTTTAATTCTCAAAAGTATCTATTCTTTTAAAATTGTGCATTTCTAAACTGGCTTTTCTTAACAATTTTCCAATTTAAGGAACACACAATCAGATAATTATTTCATGAGGCAAATGTATAAAACTGAAGCACAAATATATACCTGAACATTTATGACCTACTCTTCCACCATAAAAAAAAATTCATAGGTGGCAAATAATTCTGAGTATTTCCAAATTATAATATTTAGTTATGGTTTAATGTTTTAAAACAATTTTGTTTTAAATGAGATCTTTAAAAAAGTATATTAGAAAACTCAAAATTTTTCAATTATTTTTAAATTTAGGTAAAACCTTACATTGCATATTGAAAGTAAAAGATGTTTTCCTAAGGGAATTACAGATCAATATCTTCATATAAAATACTCAAATACAAACACTCTATAATTCCTTTAACAATATCAATTGCAAAGAAAAGCAGCCATGCTTGCAAAAGGGCTTTTCAATATTCCTGTTTAAAGCAAGGCTCTCTCCTGGTTATCTTTGCCTGGCTTATTCCTAACCCAAAGTTTCTCTTCGGCCCTCAGACCAAAATGCCCCTCCTCTAGGGTCCAGTGCCCATTTCAGATGTTGTCATTATCTATTTTATTGTTATTATTATGCTTGTGCTTTTTTTCCTGTAAGAAATTCAATACTTAATAATTCTTTTAAAAGAACTCATTACTAGATAAGGATAAAGTCTTTACTTCTTACGGCCACACTTTTATTTATTGTATTTACCTCAGTGCTACCTATTACTAAACATTGACTTTTACCAGTGGGACGTTCCCAAGTACTTCAGATTTGGATTAATCACCTTTAATCTGAACTCCATTAGAATGTAGCACAAATTCTGGCATTTAATCCTATTCTACCTAGCAATCTCATTTTAACTGCTTTACAGACTATGTTACAGTTTATACACTCTCCTCCAACAGATCATAAGGTTCTAGAAGACAGAAAGCATTAAATTTCTTTTAAGAGCACAGGTTCGCAGTACACAATGATTACATTACCAAAACATCTTTTCTCATCCTCTTCCCCTTCCCCCATCTCTTGATCCACTTTCCATTTGAGAACATATCCCTACTTCCTATTTTGCTCTTTATTTATATGTTGTGTTTCTCAAACAAAAGAAACCATGTGATATTTAAGCCTGTGCTTCTAATGCATTTCACTTAACACTATGGTCTCAAGGTGCATCCATGTTCCTACAAATGACTCAAGTTCCATCATTGATCATTTGAGAAATGCAAATTAAAATAACAATGAGATTCCATCTTACCCCAAAAAGAATGTCTATCATCAAGAAATCAAATAATATGGGCCAGGGATTTAGTTCAGGGGTTGCGCCACCTTCCCCACAAGCTTTTAAGCCCCAGAAGTTGGAGTGAGGGTGCAGGTAGTAATGGACTCCAAACTAGCCACTTGAGAAGCACATAGCTAATGGTAATCATTGTTATTATCAAAAGTTGCTTTTTAAACCCCAAAAAAAAAAAAAAAAAAAAAAAAGAAATCAAATAATACAGACTGATGAGCTAAATGGATGCACAATGAGGCCATACACTTAAGTGAAATAAATAGGACACACATGTAAATACCCAACAGTTTCTCTGGTGTGAAAGTGGAAATGAGGATCAAAATGTAAGGAAGAAAAGCTCCAAAGAGGAAGGGTAAGTGAGAGGATAGGGGAATGGAAAGAAAAGAAAGGAAAAAATGTGAGGAAAATAAAAAATGGAAACAAAGTCTTTGTAAATAGGGAGAGGTGAAGGGGTTGAAGGAAGGGAAGGGGAAAGGGGAAAAAATAAGAACCAAGATATATCATGTAAAGGTGCAGATTCCCAATGATGGATGTCATACTGTATATCTAAAATGTACCAATAAACTTAATGAATTTTTTAAAAAAGACTGGTGAGATGTGGGGCAGCTTTTTACATTGTTGGTGGGAATGTAAACTAGTATAACCACTATGGACATCAGTATGGGGATTCCTCAAAAAACTAAAACTAGAAAATTCCATTTGGCATAGTTATTCCCCTTCTAAGTACCTTTCCAGAAGAATGAAAGACATCATATTACAGTGATTCACACGTACCTATGTATATGGCAGTGCAATTTATAACAGCTAAATATTGAAAACAGCCTATATGCCATCAACAGATTAATGGACAAAAAAACTCTACATTAAATTCTTTTTCATTTAAATCTCCCCATTGCAGTGTTATGCACTAACACTCATTAACTCATAGATAACTCTGGAATGACAACTGAAATAGTAACATTCATTATTAAAGGCTAAAGCTATTATGAGAGTATTTTAAAAGTTGCAGCACAGAGCCATGGATTTAACTCTGAGGTTCTGCTGCCTGCCTCAGAAGCGCAAGGACCCCAAGTTTCATCCCCAGTATCAAAAACATAAATAAAAGCCAGGCGTGGTGGCACATGCCTGCAATCCCATCACTCGGAAGGCTGAGGCAGGAGGATCGCTGTGAGTTCTAGACCAGCCTGGGATACATAGTGAGTTCCAGGTCATTCTCAACTACATAGTGAGAACCTGTCTCAAAAAAACCAACCAAACAAACAAACAAAAAACATAAATAAATAAAAATAAATAAAAGTTGCAACATTGTCTCCTTTGTTTTTTGAGGCAGGGTCTCACTATGTGGATTAGGCTGGCCATAAACTCACTATGTAGGTCAGGCCTACCTCAAACTCACAGCAATCCTCCTGCTTCAGCCTTCTGAGTGCTGGGATTACAGGTATGAACCATCACACAAGGCTGCAGCATTAAATCTTATCTTTAAAGTAGAAACCTATTACCAACTGAAGTCTTCCCAATCTTAGAGATGTGACAACTGGCAGTTGTATGAAGGACAGAAAGTAAACATACACATATGCATATGAATGTTTATAGGTTCAAATTTTCTATAATGAATAAGCATCAACAAGTGAAAAAGAAGAAGTCCTAATACTATTTTGGTTTTTTTTTTTTCCGTACTGGAGATCAAACTCAGGACCTTGTACTTGCAAGGCAGGTGCAGCGGAGCTGAGCTGAATCCCCAGCCCACCTAAATCCCAGGCTCTATTTGGCTTTTTAAATTCCAGTCTTTACAGTTTTGTAGTAATACTATATACATAATTTTTTAGTCTTTAGTCTTTGAACCCTCATAATAGACATTTTTTCCTACATTATCACAAACTCTTGATAAACAAAACAAGAATGAGCCCAGAGCTTAATAATGTTATGAAAAACAAAGCGTATATATCACAAGCAGACCAAAACTACATAAGGACTTTACAAAGAAGGGCAAAACACAAATTGCTTCTGCAGAGGACTTGGTTCTTTACTTCCACAGCTCAGAAACCAGTATTACTTGAGGGAAGGTGTATTCACATCTCAACAAACCCATAGTCTATCCAAGATCAGAACTCAGACAGTGAGAGGTCCCTCAAAGAGAAAAGCACAATCCTCAGCCATCTTAGTTCTCAAGGAGACATTTCTGAAACAACCTGAAGAGGACAGTTTTAAAAAATGTTTGACAATCTGGACTACATAATGAGACTTGTCTCAAGAAAAAAAAATTGGAACTCAGTTTCAGGTCTGCGATCATTAATCAAATGTGTAAAGTGCCTTCTTTGGCCTATACAAAATACAGTGCATATAGAAGCAGCACAAATACTGTTCCAAAGAAAGACAAAATTGCCTAAGCTAACTAGATGTTACCATGTTTCAAAAATTTCAACATCTTGAAAAATGTAAATTCTTTGTTATACATTTTCATAGTAATAGTTTCAACTGAGATACATTAACTAGTAGGATTTGCTGTTTCAAAATAATCTATTTTAAGCATTTGTAAGTACAGCAGTCTTCATTAACAATTACATTCTCAAAAATCTAAGAGATCTGAAACCAGATAGTTTCTCCTCCAGCATGTACAAATTCTTATCAATTTTTTATTCTTTAGAGGAAAATTACTTCAATCTATTACTTTCCAAGTAATGAACTTGTCTGTGTATCAGATTTGAGATTTTCCAGTGAATGATTGTACCAGCTGCCTCTTTTGGAAATCCTCATTGTTTCTAAGACAGTAGTTTTCAGGATCCCAAGAGAACTCCTTCCCATTTTCCATCAAAATTCTGGCTTCCTTTTTCTGTTGTTTCTGTTTAATGTTTTGTTTTGTTTTGTTTTTAACTTTTTCTTTTCCCTGGGAATCTGGCATGGAAAGTCTGGCTCATCTCATTAGCCTA